CGGGACCGCCTCGCCCTCCCCGCGCCGCCCCACGCGGGACCGCCTTGCCCTCCCCGTGCGAGACTGCCTTGCTCTTCCCCCAGACTCTTCTCTCTAGTGTCCCGTTGTGTTGGGCTGCATTAAGCCTCCTACACCCCCCCCATGCCTCAGCTCTCCCGCGCCTTGCCCTCCCCGTGCGAGACTGCCTTGCTCTTCCCCCAGACTCTTCTCTCTAGTGTCCCGTTGTGTTGGGCTGCATTAAGCCTCCTACACCCCCCCCATGCCTCAGCTCTCCCGCTACATGTCTCTCTGCCATCTTCCTTCAGGCTGCCTTATTTCTCCTCAAATATTTCCTGATAACGCCACACCACACAACACACACACTGTGGGCTGCTTTAGTGTTCCTGCTATACCACTTGCCTCGGACTGTGTTAGTTCACCCCTCTCCCGTATGCCCTCTAGATCACACAACTATGGACTGCCAAACTCGCCCTTGATGGATTTCCTCAGGTGTCCCTTATCCCCTCAAATTCCCCTGGGCTCCCTCACCTTCCTCCTCTCCAAACTCACTGGCTACGTCTAGACTGGCATGATTTTCTGCAAATGCTTTTAACGGAAAAGTTTTTTGCAGAAAAGCGACCATGCCAATCTAGACGGTTTTGTGCAAGAAAGCCCCGATCACCATTTTTGCGATCAGGGCTCTTTTGCTCAAAACAATACTGCATTGTCTACACTGGCCCTCTTGCGCAAAAGCATTTGTGCAAGAGGGCTTTTGCCCGAATGGGAGCAACATAGTATTTCCGCAAGAACACTGACAATCTTACATGAGATCGTCAGTGTTCTTGCACAAATTCAAGCAGCCAGTGTAGTCAGCTGGCAAGTTAGCTGCTTTTGCGGAAAAACTTGCCAGTCTAGACGCAGCTGCTGTGTATAGGAGCATCTAGAAGATTCAGGATGATGCACTTGTATTTGTGAACCTGCCATCGCATGAAATCCTGCAGATTCAATCAATCCAACTCTGGAACACAAACCCTGCCCCAGTGGGATAAGGGAATGGTCATTTGATCATGGCATGTGTAGACCTGGGCTCCTGTCTTCCCTGCTGCTAACTCTGCTAGTGCTTGCACATCACTAGTATGCATTGGGTCTTGGCTCTGCTTTTTCACTTTCTTTCAAGAGCATCCTTTCAGAGGTAAAAAGGAAGCTCTGCTACGTATGTGTAGTGGTTTAGTGAGCACTCTGGAATGAGAGTAGTCTGTGTGGTACCTTTTGTGTTAAATTAGCAAGTGTCGGAATTGCTTGAAACTTCAGGTATGATCTTCATAAATGAAATTGGTGCTATCTGTAGATTTTCTAGATTTTGACCAGTTTGCAAAAATTCTGAATTGTGGATGGTGCTGTCTGATATCTCATGTTTATTGTATTAAAGCAAGTTCCAAAGCAAACTACCTGAGTGTCATTAGTTTTTTGGGGGGTGGGAGAGGAGGGAGTATTGAATATTTAGTATTATAAGAATGGAAGTGCTCCTGTGCTAATGTTTGGGTCTGTGGTGTTACAGAGGAATGCAGGCAGTAGTTCAGATGGAACCGAAGACTCCGATTTCTCTACAGATCCTGAGCACACGGACAGCTCTGAAAGCGATGGCACATCTCGACGATCCGCCCGCGTGACCCGTTCCTCAGCCAGGCTCAGTCAGAGCTCTCAGGGTAAATACCTTTCTTCCTAGCCTCACCAGACACAACTGGCTGGCCAGTCACAATATCCTTGGCTTGTTAATACTTAAAGGAATTTTAGTGAATCTATACCTTTAGTTTAGTTAATCTCATTCATTATTTTCTCTCATTGAACACAAATGTGCCAGGGAAAGAAACGAAGGCATTGCAAGGATGCATTGCATAAAATAGGTTGTTCAGTCTAATGATTAAAGAGGGGGTTGGAAGTATTTTCTATTCCCTGGTATGAAAGCTAGCGGTGCCTAGTAGTTAAAGCCACTGGCAGTTGGAACAATTGGATTCTATTCTTAGCTTTGCCTCTGATTTTCTAATATCTTCAGAAAGTCAGTTGATTTCTCTTACTCAGTTTCCTTATGTGTATAATGAATGTTACTTACTTAATAACTTTTGTGTTGCTCATTTCAGTGTTTTTGATGCACTTAAAAATCACTAAAGTGGATAGTTATATAGATGTGTCGTTAAAACAAAGGACATTTGGGAACATTCAAAGTCACAGTAGTTATTTCAAGGAACAGCTGTTTATATTGCAAGAAATCTGAAAAACATGCCTTTGAATATAAAGGCCTAGCACACCTAGAATTCACTCTTCTATTAAGACTTCATTGTAGCCACTTTCCTGAAACTGGATTTCAAGGCTTTTTCTCCTGAATGTTAGCATATTACTAAGCTCTCGGATACCATGATAATGAGACCAGCATATAAATAACTAGGCAGAAAGAGAAAAGTTGGTATTTGGAGACTTTAGGCTGCTTGGAGGTATTCAGAAATGGAAGTTGAATTCTGTTCTGTGAGAGGAGGTGTATTTTCAGATTTGTTGAAAGCCTGTATTATGGAATGTAATCAATATATTGTGGTGTTTGCAGATATTTTGCATGTTTCTACATTTTGGCATCTAAACTTAAGAGTATGTTTTACTTTTCCATTCTCTCATAGTTGATTTAAGGACTTTTGTTCTTGGCTGATAGTAATTAAAAGGAAAAAAAAATTCTGGAAGACTTGCTGCATGAGAATATTAAGGGTGATAATGCTGGAAGGTTACATTCAGGGTTCCAACTTTACTGCTTTGCACCAAAAGCAGTTGTGGTATACAGAGGGCTCATCTAATTAGTAATGATTCTCATATTCACAGGCAGCTTTTTCTCTCTCTGTGAGAGGTGGTTTGTAACCATTGGATAAATAATGGCATACAGAGTATGTTGATTCTGTGCCTGGTTCCTCAGATTGTCGGTGGTTCATAAGTACTGTAAAACTGTGAAAGAGGGCAGCTCAGAAAAATAGAAGAGATCCTGATGACAGTAGAATCATGGGTAGTCAATTATTTTTGGTCAACGTCCAAATTTCTTGGTCAAAGGTATAATCAAGGTCCAGACTCTTGAGAAAATAATAATTAAAAAAAATGAAAATAAGTAACTGAAAAGATTTCAGGGTCCATTCAAAAGTATCTGACGGTTCATCTTTAGCCCATGGTCTGCGTAGTGACCTAGGGATGTGAAAGTGTAACTGTGTACATGGTTAACCAATATGCTTGGACTCATCGGTTAACCTTCACGTTTACATGCAAGTTGTCTGCATGCCTCCCCCTAATCCTGCACTGCTGCTTCTAGATCAGAGGCAGCAGCAGTGGGAGGGGGCAGGCAGGAGTTTCCTTTCCCCCCGCGTGTAACTGCTGAAATTTTCAGCAATTACACGTTAACTTCATTAAACACATTTTAACATCCCTAGGGTGTGTCTAGACTCCGTCGACAGAGCCATGTAGTCCAGACACACCCCTAGTGCTACCGCTAGTTGCATCAGTGGCAGAGGAGGAGAGACTCTACTCTTGGGGTCAAGTTGTCAGATGATGTTGAACCTGTAGTTTGGGTTAAGAGTAAAATCAGAGGTAAATTGACCCTGACTTTTCGGTGAAGCAGGAAGCAAGTTAGTGATCAGCAGTGGCTGCCCTCAATTAAATTTTGTTTTTTTAATTGAACTAGATTCCAGCCCAGTTCGTAATCCACCATCCTTTGGCACAGAGGAGCCTGCCTATTCTACGAGGAGGGTGACCCGCAGTCAACAACAGCCCACTCCTGTGACTCCAAAAAAATATCCTCTCCGACAGACCCGCTCATCTGGCTCGGAAACAGAGCAAGTGGTTGACTTCTCTGATAGAGGTACGGCTGTGAGGATCGGCTTTGAGTGCTTGCAGGATGGTGTGAGCCAGGTGATGTGCTCTCTCTTGGAGACCACATGAGACTGAGGGTTTAACGCAGGGCCCTAAGAATGAAGGTTTGCAGCAAGTGTCTGTACGTTCTGTGAAGTCACTTAATTCTTTTTTTTTTTTTTTTTTTTGTAAGCTTCCCTTCTTGCAAATCTGTAATGTCTCAACTCTTATTCAGATACTAAAAATGCAGTGGATCATGACGAGTCTCCACCACGCACCCCAACTGGGAACGCCCCTTCTTCAGAGTCTGACATAGATATATCCAGTCCAAATGTGTCCCATGATGAGAGCATTGCCAAGGACATGTCCATGAAGGATTCGGGAAGTGACCTGTCTCACCGTCCCAAGCGCCGCCGTTTCCATGAAAGCTACAACTTCAACATGAAGTGTCCCACTCCTGGTTGCAACTCCCTAGGTAAAGCCAGCTCCAAGATTAGTTCATCTCCCTTCCATTTCTGACACTAGGCTCAGTGACCCGCATTTTACAGGTTGAGAACCCCACTGGGTAGAGTTGCATATCTCAGCAACGTGCTCTTTATTGGGATCAGGGTATTTATTGAGTGGTTGAAGCAGAAAGCCACTTTGGGGGAATGGAAGATGCCAGCAGTACATACTTTCCAGGGCTGTCTATCCACCAATGGTTGAGCATGGTGTGGAGAACAAATGTCTGAGAATGGATTGTTATAGTGCTGATTTTTCCAAGCCCTCTGTCTGCACCCAGATGTGTTGAGTTCTTGATGCACAAAAAGCTCTGAGCTTACTGCTAAACTCTCTTCAGCATAGGTCCTGGAAAGTCATAGAAAATCAAGTCTTTAACTTCCAAGTGAGTAGTTTAGATCCAGTCTGTTAGTAGTGACTAGATGCTATGCCACTAGTGGGTTATTTGGCATTTGTTGAAATACTGAATAGCCCATGGTGTTTTAAATACAATTTCTCGCTCGAGGTGGTCGATGTGTGCCAGTGTTGAGACAGTAGTGTAAAGGAAGGTTACCCTGCTGCTGTCTGAACTTTGCCTGTTCTGTGCGCAAATGCAATCAGCGCTACTTTCACTTTAAAACCAAACGAAAAAGCCTTGTTTGTCTGCTGTCTTCTGGATGGTACATCAGTGAAGTTTGATGGTTCTAATCCTAATAAATCCTGTTGGGATTCTTGCACCCTGCAGTGGAAGGGTGAGAGTACAAGGGGAACGGATGTAATGTGAAGGGGAAGTGATCTGTCAGAAAGAAGATGTGCCATCAATATAGATGCTTGGGGAAAAATTTAAGGTCTTTGAGATAAGACTCTTGTTACTGCAAGAAGCAGGATACTTGGAAGAAATATGATCTAACATAACGTGGTGTCGCGTAAATATTTGGGTTTCATTTTTGTCCTCTACAGCTTCTCTCGAATAATTAGATTTGTTCATCTTGGCTTACTTGTAATAATTTACTTAACTCCTCTAAACCAGCAGATCTAGAGATATTTTAATTATTGGCTTTTTTACTTACTGGCTGTAAGGTTGGGTTTTTTTTCCATGCTTCTCCACAGGGCACCTTACAGGAAAGCATGAGAGACACTTCTCCATCTCAGGATGTCCACTATATCATAATCTGTCAGCAGATGAGTGCAAGGTAATTTTCTTTCCTCCTCTGTTTTCATTCTGCTTTTACAGTACGAGATGTCAAGCAGGCATTAACACTCCAGGGTAAAACTGATGGTTGTTATGCTTCCAGTGTAGTCTCACTTCAGACATGAAACAGCAGTGCATGTTTGTGTCACAATGTACATTCTAGGGATGTAAAATCATGTTTAGTCAGTTAACCAGTTGTTATGTTTAACCGGTTAACCGCTTAAATGGGGATACGAAGGGGGCTGCTCCAACCGAGCTGGAGCACTGGCGGCACAGCGGGTTGCTCAGCCTGGGTCCAGCAGCGTCATGGCGGGCTACTCCAGCCAGACTGGAGTGCCCCCTGCCCGCAGCATGGCAGGCTGCTTCAGTTCAGTCAGGCCACCAGTTAATCGTATCCAGAAAGAATCACCCGGTAAAGATGACGTTTACTTGAGGGGTGTTTGGATTTCCAGGTGAGAGCACAGAGCCGAGATAAACAGATCGAGGAGAGGATGCTGTCCCACAGACAGGACGACAACAACAGGCATGCCACCAGACATCAGGTACGCATTCCCTGCATAAGCAGTGTTTCCTGATTATAGGTATGCATCACAGGATGGGTAGCCTATCCCCTCGGGAGGCCGGGCGGGGTGCCTCACCCTGTCTTCTGGCCCTGGCTATAGCCTCTGTTGACTGGGCATCATGGCTCAGTGACCTAGTCTGTAGTGCCCTCAGTCGGTAAGGCCCAGCGGCCAAGTCTTTAGTAAACCCCATCAGCAGGACTGTAAGGCCCAGCACCCAAGTCTATGGGACCCCAGTCAGTGGGGCAGTAAGGCCCAGTGGCCAAGTCTCTATTATCAGGGGTCGACAAATTATGAAAAACCCTACTCACCAGACGAAAAAGGGACTCACCACCCTCCCCCACAAAAAGTGTTTTTTTTTTTAATGGCATAAATTCCTAATAAGAATAAGAATAGTAATTACTAATAAGTTATTAATAAATATCACCCAAGTTATTAATAAATAAACCTCTACCTTTTCTCTCTGGTGCCATGTCTCCTCCCCTTGTTCCATCAGCTCCCCTGGTGCCTGCTGCCCCCCAAGCCCTCACCCTCCTCTGCTGTTCTGACTCCTGCCCTTCTCACTGCCCTCAGCCTTCCTGAGACCTGCCCCCCTCTGCCAGCCCTTCTCTCCCCCCTGTGCCCACTCCGATCAAGTGAGCTACCCCATCTCATCCCCTCTTCTAACACCTCCCTGTACACACCTGCCCTGCCTTTCTCTGGTGCTGGTCCCTCCCCTGCAGGTGTCTGCCCTTCTGCTTCACCCCCAGAATCCCCTGGCACCTGCACCTTCCCTTAGCCCTGCACCCTCCTGGTGCCTCCTCCTTCCCTCACTGCCCCTGCCTCCTTTGCCCTCTTTTTCCCTGGTGCCCACCCCGTCACCACCCTCTGCCCCAGTTCTCCTCACACCCCTCTGCGCCCTCACATGTGACTTGCTCCAACCACTGTCTTCCTCATGCTCACCCCTCCTTTCAACCCCTCTTCTCCTGGCACCCACTCCTCCCCTCTCTTCTTCCTCTCTCTTGCCCCCATTGTACCTCCCCTTTCCTCTCCCAGCATCACCTTGTCCCCTCCCTTCTTCAAACCTCCACTGACACCTTCCCTTCCATCCTCCCTCCTGTACTTTTACTCATTGACTCCTCTTGGCCCCCTGGCATTTCTCTCCTCCATCCTGCCCCTTGGTGCCTTCTCCTGCCCTGTCCCCCTCCCCCAGCACAAGCCCCCTCCTCTTCTCATCCACCTTCTCCTTAGTTCTCCCCCTGCCCCTTCCCTTGCCTTCTGCTTTTAACTTGGAAAGCAGTTTGCGGGCACTGAAGCAGGGGCCACAGTACTCTTATTACTACCCTGGCCCGGCCCTAAAAGCCTCCACAACTCTGGCCCCAACTGCTCCCTTACACAGGTTTGCATTTTTCAATGGGTTTTTTATTTGGTTTGTTTTTGTCCCAGCATTTTAGCCCTATAAATAGCAAATAGCATTTTCATGCCTTTTTTCCAAAAAGGCATAGGCGCTTCAAGTGAACTCCCCCTTTCACTCGCTGCTGGGTCACAGCAGCCTCTTCCCTGCCCTGTCCAGCCCCTCCCTATGGACAAGCACCCCTCACTCCCAACCCACAGGGGGAGCAGGGTGCTGAGACAGCACAGAGCCAGAGGGGTGCAGGGAACAGTGGGGAGGGTATGGGTGTGGCGCGGGGAACGGGAGACGCAGAGCCAGAGGGATCGGGGGGGAGCAGGGTGCGGTGGAGGCACGGAGACTGGGACACAGGGAATGGGAGGGGCAGAGGGATCGGGGTCTAGGGGCAGTGCAGGGAATGGGCAACACAGAGCTGGGGGGGCAGGGATCAGGGGGAGCAGGGTGCGGGATGCAAGGGTGGTGTAGAGTCAGAGCGTCGCAGGGAAGAAGGGGAGCAGGGACTCCGGGGTGCAGGGGAGTAGGGGCAGCGTGGGAAACAGGCCGGGGGGGGGCGCCCGCCCCCCCCCCCCCCCCCCCAGCCAGCTCCCGGGGACACGTGGCCAGAGCCAAGCTACCGCTGCTCTTTAAAATCAGCTGGACCATGTCACGCCAGTGTCCTGGCATCCCGCCCCGCCTCCTTGCGCCGGAGCTGCACGCAGGTAGCCCGGTGGCAAGAATCGCCGCACTTCCCCCTTCCCGGCGGCGCTCTGCTCCTCCACTGGCCAGTGGATCGGATGGGCGAGTGCGGTCTTCGGCCAGCCCATCACAACGGCCCACTGGGCCAGTCCGCTCCTGCACTCGCTAGCTGGTACACTCGCCCGTGGAGAGTAGATTTTATTTGTCAAGCCCTGGAAATGTGTATAACTCATTAAAGACCTTTTTATGGAAGATGCAGCTAGCACACATTATCAACGCATTGCTCACATAGCATGCTTTATATTTCTTTATGTTGCCCTCCTTAACTATTGGTGATGAGCAGTCAGCTGAGCATATACCCTTCGGGAAGAAAGACTTCTTGGAGGGGAGAACACATGAAGTGTTGAGTCACTAAAAACTGAAAGGTGATGGGTAGTGTCTGAAGTAAGCAAAGTGCATTGACTCTCTCAACTTCTCTCTTTCAGGCACCAACAGAGAGACAGCTGCGGTACAAAGAGAAAGTAGCAGAGCTGAGGAAGAAAAGGAATGCGGGATTAACCAAGGAACAGAAAGAAAAGTACATGGTATGGCAGCAGTTTTTTTCTTTAGTTCTTTTCTACAGTATACCACAAGTATATGGAGACTTGACTTTCCATTTGTTCTGCCGAATGCTGAGTTAACAACCTGGGGCACTTGGCAGGCCAGGGTTGGCATGGATTAATCTCCTAATATTTAATCGTTCCAGGAACACCGACAAACCTATGGCAACACTAGGGAACCCCTATTGGAAAACCTTACTAGCGAGTATGACCTAGAGCTTTTCCGAAGAGCACAAGCACGGGCCTCTGAAGACCTGGTGAGACTCTTAATCTTTAACATGTCTGATAGCAGCTGCCTTTGCTTTTCCAAGAGCGGGACGTCTCTAGTTTGTAGGGTTTCTGCTGATAAGTGAGTGAGACGAACCTCTGAACCGTGGATGTGAAAATGGCAATAGAATGCTGGGTGAAACATCTTCAGAATAAGAGCCAAGTCTGTGGAGTTTCTCCAAGTCGGGCTGTCTCCCCATATTCGTATCTTAATATACAGGGCTCGGCGAACCGCGGCGAGCCCCGCTCTCCAGCCGCGCTGTCCGGTGATTGAATGAACCCAGCTCTTCCGGGTTGCAATCTATTCGCCACGGGCGAGTAGATTGCATTATTTGTCGAGCCCTGTTAATATATCAGGACATAGAGGTGTCCGACAGCAATGAATTTGCCCGCAGTACAGTGGGAGGTGTGCATTTCCAGTCTTGGGCACTGTAAGAGCTCTGAGACGAGTTCAGTCCCATTTATCTAGTGTTTCTGCAGCTTTCCTCCTGTGAGAGAATCAACGAGCCCCGGGCCAGAAAGGGCAACAGCATCACATACTGAAAGAGTAGCTGAGGAATGCTGGAATTGAGAGTGTAAAATGCTTTCCGAGGCCAGCCTGTCAGTGCACTGCCATCCTGGAGTTCAAAACTGTCTTAAGCTAGACTGATAAGGGCTTCTGGAGATGCCACTTCCCATCTCCCAAAGCTGATCCAAAGCAGTTTTCATGGTCTCTGATCATAGCTTGGGATCACTGTGATCAGAATAGTCAGTTGCCCTTTTCCCCTTGTGGGAGGGAGAAAATACAAAGCCGCATGGAGGGGAATTTTGCTTTGAAGTTAACAATATAAGGAAAGGTAGGCTGAGTGATACGAGGTCCTAAAGATCACAGGCCACCATGGCGTGACAAACAATTTGCTAATATATACTAGGCTGGAGAGTGCACATGAAATGCCCATCTGCCTTTTTAAGATGGGTCTGGGAAGAGTCTCATGGAAGGCACATAAATGTTTATTTCTCCCTTTCCTTTTTTATTACGTTCCCTTTATTTTTTTCCGCTGATAGGAGAAGTTGCGGCTTCAGGGCCAGATCACAGAAGGCAGCAACATGATTAAAACAATTGCCTTTGGCCGCTATGAGCTGGACACCTGGTATCATTCTCCCTACCCAGAAGAGTATGCTCGGTTGGGGCGCCTCTACATGTGTGAGTTCTGTCTCAAGTACATGAAGAGTCAGACAATACTACGCAGACACATGGTAAGTTTTTTGTGGTAGTTGCCCAGTTCTTTCGGTTTAGAGATTGAAATTATGATGAAAACACATCAAAACACAAGAGCTGTTTTGGTCTCTACTACTCCATTTTGGAGCCTGCCTGACTAAATGCTGAGTGAAAATACAGCTGTGCACAGCTATGAAAGGAAGACAGGTTTTCTCAGATTGTCTTAATCCCCAGGCCAGCTGAATGGACTCCAGTGGAATAGGGGCTGGTGGGAATCCATCTTATCATTGTAGCTGAACCGGAATGCATTTTTCCCTACTGGGAACACTTGCTCTGTAACCAAGAGGACACAGCTCTTTTGGCCCTCAGAGCAGCTGCTAAACCACGATTATTACCCTAACTTTAGGGGGAAAAAAATCAACCAATGGTCTGGTAGCACTTTATAGACTAATAAAACATGTAGATGGTATCATGAGCTTTCGTGGGCACAGCCCACTTCTTCAGATGACCAGAGTTTTGAGTTTAGGATGTGCAGACCCAAAATAAATAGGAGAGAAGGGAGGGGGAGACAGGGAGCAGAGGGTATAGAAAATTCAGGAAGGTAGAGGGAATCAGTAAGTATCTGAAGATTAGGAAGTTAAAACGAAGCAGATAAGAATCAAAGCTGCTTCGTTTTAACTACCCAATCTTCAGACACTTACTGATTCCCTCTACCTTCCTGAATTTTCTATACCCTCTGCTCCCTGTCTCCCCCTCCCTTCTCTCCTATTTATTTTGGGTCTGCACATCCTAAACTCAAAACTCTGGTCATCTGAAGAAGTGGGCTGTGCCCACGAAAGCTCATGATACCATCTACATGTTTTATTAGTCTATAAAGTGCTACCAGACCATTGGTTGATTTTTTTCCCCCTAACTTTTACTGTTATTTTCTTGTAGGCAAAATGTGTCTGGAAACATCCGCCAGGGGATGAAATTTACCGCAAAGGCTCTATTTCTGTGTTTGAAGTAGATGGGAAAAAGAATAAGGTAATCAGATTTGCAGCGGTGGCATAGTCCTGCTTCTGGAGTTCCCCTTTCTACTGCACTTTATGGGTGCGTCTAGACTGGCAAGATTTTGCGCAAAAGCGGCCACTTTTCCGCAAAAACTTGCCAGCTGTCTACACAGGCCGCTTGAATTTGCGCAAGAGCACTGACTTTGTAAGAATACTTGCACAAGAGGGCCAATGTAGACAGGCACCTTAATTTTTTGCGCAAGAAAGCCCAATGGCTAAAATGGTGAGCGGGGCTTTCTTGCGCAAAAGCGCGTCTAGCCTGGCCACGGATGCTTTTGCGCCAAAGCATCCGTGCCAATCTAGACGCTCTTTTGCGGAAATACTTTTAACGGAAAAACTTTTCCGTTAAAAGTATTTCTGCAAAATCATGCCAGTCTAGATGCAGCCTATATGTCGTCCACCGTACACTGTAGAGAAGCAGGAGATGTTGGTGTCTTTCCCTCTGATTCCAAAGGGGGCACTGGGGCCTACTTTCCCTCTTCTCACAGTGCTAGCAGGTATCTTGTATGCACTGGATGGGTCTTGCAACAGAGCACCTGAATAAGGTCTATCTGCATCTTCCTTCTGGCTGTGTCTTAGTCCTTCTGCACACCTATGATTTCATGTGCTTGTTCAGATACAAATACTGGTGCAATAGCCTCTAGCAACTATTTGTCCAGTTCCCCTCTGGAACCCTAATGAGGGTTCCTATTTCCTGCCACCATGGCGTGTCTCTCATTCAGTGACGAATGGTCTAAACTGCAGTGGAGCAGCCTAGTGCTGTTGCTGCTTAGAGCATTCACAGTTGACTGGCACAGAGTGAAGACCGGCAGGGACAACTGAGGCCTTAGTCTCATGAAGTGGTATTGTTGTCTCCAAATGGCCAGAGCCATTGCTATAGGGATGGCCCTTTGAAGCCCTGTTAGATACTTCTATTGAGGGGTGGTGTTGCCATGGTTAAAATTGAAGCTGTTTGGAAAAAGGCATTTTGGGGAAGAACAAACTAATCTAATCTGTATTTTGTTAGTTCCCATCCTTTCGAAAGTGGAAGGGATTCTCTTTCAGGGGATGTTGCATCATAGTAAACAGGTGTGTCATATTATCCTTCTGCTTCCAGATCTACTGCCAAAATCTGTGCCTGCTGGCAAAGCTTTTCTTGGACCATAAGACTCTGTATTATGATGTCGAGCCTTTCCTCTTCTACGTCATGACTGAAGCTGACAACACTGGCTGCCACCTGATAGGGTATTTCTCCAAGGTCAGTAGAAATCATCCTCCGATACACTTCAATCCGGTACTTACGCTGTAGTTAGAGATGGATATCATTTGTGCAGGCCCTGTCTCCTCGGTTTCCTGCAAGTCCCAACATCTAAGTAGCAAAAAAGTGTCGAGGAAGAGCTAAAATTTCAAAGCAAAGCAAGAAAAGCTTGTCAGATGCATTGTTTTTGTAGCTTTCCTAATTGCTAGCAAAATCAAATTTGCTAGGAGACATTGTTATATTAAACAACAAGGAGTCCTGTGGCGCCCTGGAGGCTAACAGATTTATTTGGGAAAAAGCTTTTGTGAGTAAAAACCACTTCCTCACATGTATGAAGTAGAGTATGGCTATCCTTCCGAGACTTGTATTAAATAGCAATTAGTAACCATTTGTGTGCAAGTTAACGGGGATCTCATTGGCTCAAATGGAGATGAAGTTAGAATCATTTTCTAGTAATAATCTTTTTATCCCTGGAGCTTTATAGAGCACTTTGAGATGGGACCATATATTCATTTTATAGATAGGGTAACCGAGGAACAAAGGTGAAGTGACTTTCCCAAGGCCACACCACCTGTCTGTGTCAGACTTTAGGGTAGAAGACTGGTCTCATGGCTCCTAGTCCTGTGCCTTGTCTGCGCAACCATGTTCCCTCTTTAATAGAAGTATCTCTAATCTTTTTACTGAATGCGTTTTACATCTTTGTGAAGCACATTTCCTAGCTGTCTTTACTTAAATGCATTGTCTATAGTGTAGTTGTCCTATGAGAGTAAACATTGCTGCAAATGAGAGCCATTAGACAGTAGAATAAATAGCCTTCCAAGGGGAGTGTTGGAAGCTCTTTCTCTTAAGCTACCTGAATTATGACTGGGTAAAGCTGTAAAGAAAAGTCCTGCATTGGCCTGTGGATAATGTTGTCCTAATGATCTCTTCCCTCACTAAGCTAATGGGCTACGTCTACACTGGCCCCTTTTTCGAAAGGGGCATGCTAATTTTAAACTTTGTAATAGGGAAATCCGCGGGGGATTTAAATATCCCCCGCGGGATTTAAATAAAGATGTCCGCTGCTTTTTTCCGGCTTGGGGAAAAGCCGGAAAAAAGCATCTAGATTGGCCCGATCCTCCGGAATAAAGCCCTTTTCCGGAGGATCTCTTCAAAGTAGGAATAAGAGATCCTCCGGAAAAGGGCTTTATTCCGGAGGATCGGGCCAGTCTAGACGCTTTTTTCCGGCTTTTCCCCAAGCCGGAAAAAAGGGGCGGACATCTTTATTTAAATCCCGCGGGGGATATTTAAATCCCCCGCAGATTTCCCTATTACGAAGTTTAAAATTAGCATGCCCCTTTCGTAAAAGGGGCCAGTGTAGACGTAGCCATGGTGCAGAGTGCATATTGTTCTGACTTTATTGGCACGGGCAGTTAAGTCAGCTGTTGGATTCAGAACAAAGATTGGCGTGACAGTTCTACCCTCATGTCCTTGCTGCTGTTCTAAATCAGCACTCTTTCACGACAGGGCTCTCTTTGTCTTTTTTCTTACTAGCAATCATAAGAACATAAGAGCGGCCAGACTGGGTCAGCCCAAAGGTCCATCTAGCCCAGTGTCTTGTCAGCCAACAGTGGCCAGCACCAGATGCCCCAGAGGGAGGGATCGCAACAAGTAATCTTCACATGATCCCTCCCTGTCTCCCACTTCCAGACAAACAGAGGCTAAGGACACCATTCCTACTCATCGGCTACGTCTAGACTGGCATGATTTTCCGCAAATGCTTTCAACAGAAAAGTTTTTCCGTTAAAAGCATTTACGGAAAAGAGCATCTAGATTGGTACGGACACTTTTCCGCAAAAGCACTTTTTGTGGAAAAGTGTCCATACCAATCTAGACGCGGGTTTGCGCAAGAAAGCCCCGATCGCCATTTTCGCGATCGGGGCTTTTTTGCGCAAAACAATACCGCGTTGTCTACACTGGCCCTCTTGCGCAAAAGCATTTGTGCAAGAGGGCTTTTGACCGAACGGGAGCAGCATAGTATTTCCGCAAGAACAATGACAATCTTACATTAGATCGTCAGTGTTCTTGCGGAAATTCAAGCAGCCAGTGTAGACAGCTGGCAGTTTTTCTGCCAAAGCAGCTGCTTTTGCGGAAAAACTTGCCAGTCTAGACGCAGCCCCCCTGGTTAATAGCCATTGATGGTCCTAACCTCCATGAATCTGTCTAGCTCTTCTTTGTTCTTGTTCAAAAGAGTGGCTGATGCAGTAATAAACTCTTAAGCCAGCACAGGTGGGTGGAGGAAGCTTACACTGAAAAGTTTAGTTGTCAGACTGGCTATACAGCGCTGTGTCACTCAACTTCTCTTGTCTCAGTTGGGCTGCCTTGTCCTTTTGCAATAGTGATGTACTTGCTGTTTGTGCAGATTGAGTTCTGCTGATCCAGTTCCCCTCTTCTTTCTTTCAGGAGAAGAATTCTTTCCTCAACTACAATGTGTCTTGTATCCTGACTATGCCCCAGTATATGAGGCAGGGTTATGGCAAAATGCTCATTGACTTCAGTAAGTATATGGAAAAGTTAGGGCAAAATTTTTCAGTTGTGCTTGTGAAATGAGGCAAATCTTATTCAAAGGTTCAGATATTGTCTCTTCTTGCCTTGACCTTTTGAGGAGGAGAGCAATGCACAGCTGAATCGGACAAGGTGCCTTCAAACCACACTTATCCATAGTGTATCTGTGCCCTTGACTCTCAGAAGAGCTGCTGAGCACACACTCCTGCATGTGCGTGCCAGTGAGACCGTTCAGGGCAGGAATGTAAGGGAGATGGGGGTATAGAAGCAGCCAGTCGAGAGAAGAGCCTTTAGCATGGTTCCCATCCAGATATTGGTACTCACTTGTAAGGAAACTTACACCAACAAAATCTCCACAGTTGTCTCTTTGGTTCTGTTCAAGTGTGTCTCAGATAATACTGATTAGGGATGTAAAATCCCATTTAATTGGTTAGCCAGTTAAACGTAGCGGTAAGGGTGCTGCTTATTGGTTAACGATTCTCATCCCTAATATGATGCAAGTTAGCAGGATTTCCTGGGCTGAATTAGAATTGCTCACCACCTAACAAGCTATAGTTGGTCTGTCTGCATGGGAAAAGACTTCTGAGCTGCTTCTCCAGTGCTGCACATAAGGTGTTTTTCAGGAGGCATTGGCTGCCCTAGATTAACTATTTCTTGGTGAATTTATGCAACACGTGTGTTGCTTTTTGAGCATCCGCACTGACAAATCCCTGTAGTTCGCTGTAGTCAGTGGACAGGAGTGAGCCTGGTATACGATGAGTAAATACGTTCTCTTACTTACAGGTTATTTACTCTCCAAAGTGGAAGAAAAAGTCGGTTCTCCAGAACGGCCATTGTCTGACTTGGGTCTTATCAGCTACCGTAGTTACTGGAAGGAAGTTCTTCTTCGTTATCTGCATAATTTCCAAGGCAAAGAGATCTCTATCAAAGGTGTGTTCTAGTGCTAAATAAGCTTGTAGGGAATTTGTTCAGGAATGTTTCTGTGTTCTTTGTTCTGCACCTCTTTTCCCAAATGTGCTGTGACTGATGTTTGGTTTTTCCCTCATGGGTCCATTACTTTCTCTTACTTGGGGTTATTCTAGAACAGGGGTTGGCAACCTACAGCACGTGAGCCGATTTTCAGTGGCGAGGCTTGGAGCACCAGCTCCGGGTGCACGGGAGGGGGAGAGGTGATGAAAGCCCCAACTCACGTCCACTCCTGGTGTCCCCAAGAGCTGCCCTGGCTCCCTGCCCGCTTCTGCCAGGTTGCACAGGGATTCTGCAGAGCCAGGAGCTCCTCTCCTCCTTCCCTTCCTCTCCCTTCCCCCCGCCCCCCTCCCCCGTGGGAGAGGGAAGCGGGATTCGGGGTGAGGATGTAATGGGATTGGGGTGTGATGGGGTCAGGCTCAGAGGGTTGGGGTTTTTGGAGTAGTTTTTTTGCTTTTCACTTGCGTGGTCTCCAACTTGATAGTTCACCATCCCTGCCATAAATAAAGAAAATACTGAAACCTTTTGTTTTGGACATAAATTAATATTTTACTTTATTTAAAATGAAGTTTGATAAACTAACATGAAAGAGTTAAAACGCTTAATCTGTTTAATAATTTAAACTAAACCGTTCTCCCTAGCTGCAGCCCTAGCAAAATGGCTTGGGTGTAATTATATAATTAACAGTGAGTTTCCATTAGCCACTTATGGTCTATGGAAAGGTTTGCATTGAGCCAGGTGGTCCACAGACCAAAAAGTTTGAGAACCACTGTGCTAGAGGGTGAGAGTTGCCCGAGCTGCAGCTCTGGGGCTGGGTGGCGGCAGGGGCTGCTGAAGGGAGAGGAAAATGCGTGGGGAAGAAGGGGTGTCCTCCTTCCCCGGGTGCCTGGGTCCCTGGCAGAAAGGTGAGGGCAACATGGACCAGACCCCCATGGGACCCTGCCCACAGCAGTGCTGGACACTCCAGGGTCACCCATTTGCCCCCACTTTACCCATTTCCCTGAACCTCCCACCCCCTAAGTCATCCTGACCTCAGCCTGTGTTAACAATCTAGCATCGCACCCCTTCAAGATTGGAACCAGTGCTGACTTCCTGCGGGGGGGGGGAGGAGTCCCGGACTGCACCAGCCCCAACCACTTGGGCAGTGCGTGTTTTGCTCCTCCACTCCCTAAAGCAGCGCATGCCACCTGAGCAGCTGGAGCTGGCGCAGTCCCAGACCTCCATCCCCTTCCCCATGCGCAGGAAAGCAGCGGGGGAACAAAGAACCTAGTGTGTGACGGACCGACAATGCCTTCTCCCATAGTACTTGAAGACTCAAGGTGCTTGCTATCCACAATCATTAACTGGAAAGAGGATTTCCAGACAGTGAGCATAGGAGGGTAAATCTTTGCACTTGACTTCGGAAAGGTTGCCAACCCCTGTTCTAGACTTGAGTAGGTGGGTTTTTGTCTTGCGCAACTAGTTTTAAAATGAAGCTAGGTTGCTAGGCTTTGAAGATTCCCAAAGCACCCATATGTCTGCCCTTAGTTAACTGTCTATTTAAAAAAAAAAATAAAGTGAGCAATAGGGATCAAGATAGCAAGTTGAAAGGCAGCTCCATTCTGCTCTCCAGCACAACTGTCTACAGAGAAGCAAGAACAAATAGAACACAAAATTAGGTGACTGGGCATGAAAGTGGTAGGTGAATTTTAATGCACATTGGCAAACATCATTCCAACTGTACATATAAAATGATAGGAACTAAATTAGCTGTTGCCACCCAAGAGCGAGATCTTGGAGTCATTGTGGATAGTTCTCTGAAAATGTCCACTCAGTGTGCAGCGGCAGTCAAAAAAGCAAATAGAATGTTAGAAACCATTAAGAAAGGAATAGAGAATAAGACGGAGAATAGCTTATTGCCTCTGTATAAATCCATGGAACACCCATATCTTGAATATTGCATGCATATTTCACCTCAAAAAAGATGTCATAGACTCATAGACTTTAAGGTCAGAAGGGACCATTATGATCATCTAGTCTGACCCCCTGCACAATGCAGGCCACAGAATCTCACCCACCCCCTCCTAAAATAGTCCTCTCACCTATATCTCAGATATTGAAGCCTTCAAATAGTTTGAAGACCCCAGGATGCAGAGAATCCTCCAGCTGTGATCTGTACCCCATGCTACAGAGGAAGGCGAAAAACCTCCAGGGTCTCTGCCAATCTGCCCTGGAGGAAAATTCCTTCCTGACCCCAAATATGGCGATCAGCTAAACTCTGAGCATGTGAGCGAGACTCACCAGCCAGACACCCAGAAAGTCCTCTATAGTAACTCCTATCATCCCTCCATTACCTATTTACCACTGATAGTGAATGGTCAATTAGGGTACGTCTAGACTACATAGCTCCGTCAATGGAGCCATGTACATTTGTTTGTTCGGCAAAGGGAAATGAAGCCGCGATTTAAATAATCGCAGCTTCATTTAAATTTAAATGGCTGCCCCGCTTTTCCGATCAGCTGTTTGACGGCAGATTGGGGCAGTCTGGATGCTCCCCTGCTGACATGAAAGCCCTTTATCAACCTCCCTGGTAAACCTCATCCTACGAGGCATAACAGGGAGGTCGATAAAGGGCTTTCAGGTCGGCGTGGGAGCGTCCAGACTAGTGCGGTGAGCCGATAAACAGCTGATCAGCTGTTTGTCGGCTCAGCGCGGCAGCCATTTAAATTTAAATGAAACCGTGATTATTTAAATCGCGGCTTCATTTCCCTCTGCCGATCAGCCTAATCTATATGGCTCCATCAATGGAGCCATGTAGTTTAGACACATCCTTAGTTACCAAGATCATGTTATCTCATCAAACTTGAATATTGCATGCATATATCACCTCAAAAAAGATGTCTTTGCATTGGAAAAGGTTCAGAAAAGGGTAACAAAAATTAGGGGTGTGAAACAACTGCCATATGAGTAGAGATTAAAAAGACTGGGACTTTTCAGTTTGGAAAAGCGATGACTAGGGAGGGATATGATAGAGGTCCATGAAATTATGTATTATTTATGTGTTTCTATACCACAAGAACGAGAGGTCACCAAATTAAATTAAAGGTAGCGGGCTTAAAACAAATAAAAGGAAGTTTTTCTTCAAAGAACACAGAGTCAACCTGTGGAACCATTGCGTTTGCAGACTGGCTACAGAGAGTACCAGAAGGTGGATGATGGTTTTGTGTAGAGGATGAAATGCGTTGCTAATTTAGAATATTAATTTCAAAATGGAAAAATTGGCCAAGGAGAGAATGCTAAAAATACGTTAAGTATATGCAGTAATAGCTCTGTTGACTTCATTACTGGCAGCTAGTATAGAGTCTAAGGTGTAATCCAAAGTGCTTTCAATTAATTAAGCCACACAGCCACTGCTTGGGTGATAACAGTTATCCCTCTTTCACAAATGAGGAAATTTGATGATGACTTGCCAAGGTCACACAGCAAGTCAGTGACACAGCTGGGGATGAATTCCAGGCTCCCAATACTGCTCTTAGCACTAGATAACACTGCTGCCCTAAGGTTGACCAAACTGAAGCAGAGGAATGAGTGTTGGAATTCCAATTCACAAGGCATCTTGTGCGTATAATTATGAGGGGTGGATACAGCATAACACGGAGTTATATTTGAGAACGAAACCAATACAACAGCTGCAATCTTGAGAGAATTCCTTGGTGGTCTGGCCTGCTGCCTGCTATCTAATTGTGCACTGTGATCTTGTTTTTCAGAAATCAGCCAGGAGACTGCAGTGAACCCTGTTGATATTGTTAGTACTCTGCAGGCACTTCAGATGCTCAAGTACTGGAAGGGAAAACACCTGGTCTTAAAGAGACAGGTAAGAGTTCTGATGACTACACCTGCACTTTTGAATTCTTACAGTCCAGCTTTGTGTGCTAGACGTGTAGGATAATATTCTGTTTTAACCTACATTCCTTATGCATTGTATTGAGTTTTCATCCATTTTGATTCTGACGAGGGAGCTTTCTAAACTTATAAACAAACTATCTTCAGGAGGATTTGCAGTCTGACTTTTTTTCCCCCGTCCTAGCTCAACTAGTGTAGAAATCCTCTACTTTTCAACTACTTTCTGTGCTGTTTTTTGACATAGGGGAATTCTATTGCTAGTCTTAAGACATTTAAATCCCCAAAACCAGTTCCCCTCTTGGTTGCTTTTTTATTTCCCCTTCCTGGGGCTTTCACTTATAGATGAAGGTCTGCCTGACCTATACTGTCTGTGGAGATCTAGAAAGTAATATGGGCTGTTCTGTTCACAATGTGTCATTTCTCTGGTACCAAACAGGTAGTGGGCAGGTCACCTTCAAAGTGCTGGATTCATATGTGGGTTTTCCAATGGATAATTCACATTGGTTACTCTCTTTGGTTTAATGTGCCCTTTCATGCTCTCTTTCTCAGGATCTGATTGACGAGTGGATAGCCAAAGAGGCAAAAAGATCAAACACCAATAAGACAATGGATCCCAGTTGTTTGAAATGGACCCCTCCCAAGGGAACTTAACTGGCCATCACCCCTGAAGCCAGTGAAGAACCCCAGCAGTAGGAAGTACCCTAGGGATCTCTGTTGTATCTGTTGCTGTTGTGATTGGCTGGTACAGTACCCTCCAGGAAGATCAGTTCCCCTTGGTACTGTTCTGGCCCAGATCTTTTGCGCACACCACAGACGCTGGTTCTGAGGAACTTTATGTTTCGGCCTCAATGAGGTTGCAAGGATTGGATCTGTATAGGACCCAAATGAAGCTCCTAGCAGCACTGGCCCAAGGAGTTCTGATATCTGGTACTGTACCTGTCCAGTCACTGGTCCTACCTTCATGTTCTTACTCCAATGAGGTTGTGTTGTGTCCTATAATCTGTTCGTGTTCCTTTCTACAGGCACTCTGCTTTCTAAGTCACAGACGGGACAGCTTCTGTGGCCTTTGAACGAGGTCTATTAGTCTGTTCTCCAAATTCTGTTCATGTTTTGTTTGGGAGAAGCATTGTAATTCTACACTTAAGCAGGTTCCCAGCGTGTTGCCAGTATATTGTCTTTAGCATTGTTATAACTAACCTGTGTATCAGTTAGTTTCAGTAAGACCGCATGACGTCTCTTTAAAGAGCGCACATAATATACCAGGTCTCCGTGTAACAAAAACTGACTGCTAATATTGTACGCTCAGACTTGCACCTGTCAGTGAGTGGTGTGGTCACTGGTGTTACCCTGGAAGAGTCAAGTTTAATAGTGTGGGTGCATTTGATATACTGTTAAAAAATAACCCTTTTGGGTGCAGCAGGCTCTCCTGAGGTTACTACAAAGGCATGGCAGCTAGACAGGCCTCTTAAGTCAGATGTCATTGGTTCCCTCTTGCTGGAGTTGGTGGTTTCCTTTACACATACACTAAACTTGTTCCTGTATTTCAGCTTAGTTGGTTTCCTAAAATAATTTTCAATTGTAGCTCTTTGGAAGGATTCTATATTAAAGGAATACTATTACTGATTTCAAGTGAATTTGATAACCTTGTCCAAACAGCCACAGAAACTCTATAAAGCAATATCAATAGTTGTTAGATTGTCTAAAGCATACATTCTGCACATCAGCAGCGGCTCCAGCTAGCTGGGTGGATGGTTGCTTCTCTGTTGACAGAACTTCCTGTCTGTTCTTGTAGCACAACAGTGACCCACGCACATGTCCCTCTACTACCAAACAAAACCTCCATAAAATGGCTTTCAAATATAACCACTGTCCTTGTGCTGTGAGTTTCCTGTTTCTCTCATACCAGGGGAGAAGTATGAGGTGAGTGATAGCTGCAGTTAGATCTTTCCTATGGCTTCCTGTTGTGTGGTGTCTGAAATGAAGCTCTTACCATGCACTGGTAAGGAAGGGCAATTTCTTGTTAATCACTGACCATTCCCAGTATGGAGAAGTTCTCTGTGGGCCCTTTCATGGTGGGTTGTGTCTTTTTCTTTGCCTCCCTAAATAAATGGATCTCAGATCAAGATGTATATCCTTGTGGGCATTACTAAGGATTGCTGTCAAGTGCCCTTGGATCTTGTGTTGTAGCTGAAGATAAAATCTTGGAACCATCTGGCAGGGTGGAAACTCTTGGGAATGGGGAAGAAGGCCAGTCATGTACAAAAACTAAACCCTGTTTCCCTTGATGTGGTAGAATGTGCTATTCCTGTATCTACTTCTCAATAAAGCATGTTCTCTGCTCAAGTCGTCAATTCCTTTCTTTTAGTTTTCCTGAGCAGTGGGGATTTAAGGTGGCTCTTCAGTCGAGCGAGACTGCTCTTCCATTCCTGATGTCAGATACTTCCATTTTGAACCTGCCTTTAAGCTGTCAGGGTAATGGGGCTAGAGATTGAAGCAGACCTCAGGTTGGCTGTGATTAAAAATGTCCTAGATCCTGTGTTAGCTTTTAGAAAAGGCTTATAAGAACGGCCACACTGGGTCAGACCAAAGGTCCTTCTAGCCCAGTAGCCAGTCTGCCGAC